AACAAGGAAGTTATTCCTTCCTGTGTATCTCTCTGAATACTAGTTTTTATATCTGTACAATAGAAATGATTCTACCTTATAGGATGGATAAAAGGATTAGAGATAATGTATTAAAATGTTTGGACACTCAGTTGAGCAATGAATTATAATTATTTGTATTGGTCAGGTGTTTTACAGTAATGTGACGCCAAACACTGTAGGTTACACTGTTTATTAATAGCATTATTCCATTAATATACTCATTCTAAATTTCTTCCATTCTTCAAGTCAGCTTTCTGGAATGCCAGCAATATGAATGTGGGTTTTATAAATTTGCATAAAATTATAGTTATCCTCTTTTCTTGTCTACCTCCTGCTGACTCAGAATCAGCTCTAAAATAGAAAGCTGTATTTATTTTGCATAATGCTGCTACAGCAATGGCTAAAAATAACTGGTATGCTCTTAATAATTAAGGCTGCATGCAGACTTTGTTCTAATTGAGAAATAAACTAATTTGGGTATCTGGGAACTATTAACATGCAATAGATCTTTCTAATTCTTCTCTCCCTTCCATCCTTTTTTATACTGATTTTAAGGGCAAACCCTAGTAAAGTGAAAATAGACTCCCAAATGAATGAAAATGGTTTGAAGGAAAAAATTACACACTTCATTAAAATTTACAAGATAAGCTAGGAAATAGGTTAGAAATCTTTTCCCTGTACAGCTAGAACTAATTATTACATCTTTATATTGTTGCAGTTTTACTCTGTTTCCACAGGAACAACATCTCACCTTTCTGAGCCATGTCCAGGGCCTATCACAGTGCCACGTAATTCCAATGTGTAAACTGTCTTTGAATGTGGTGTTTCCAGTATAATTCTATTCCTAGAAATATATTTTACTCGGGAGTTCAGAATAACATATAGTAAACTATTAGGTGATTGCTTCAATTATAACTGAATTATTTACCCACTGTAATTACAAAAGCATTACTGTGAAAAAAAATTTTTTGGCCCTTCCAGTGATATCTATGTATCTATGTACCTATAACTCCTTTATTCAGCAGGGAATTACCTTCTTCTCTGCTATTAACTGGTGCTTCCTTCTGCTTTTCCCATGTGCAAGCATCAATCAACCATGCTCATTACTTTCATATGTGTATTCCAAACTTTTACATGGTTCCTATCTCCATACATAACTGTGCTTTTTATTGGCAAATAACACTCCTAAAAGATCGTTGCTGTTTCCTCTGGGGTTGATAATTTGTGTAGATACTAATCTTTTCACATTTTCCCTGCCTCCTTCCCTCCCTCCCTTTCTCCATCAGTCAAGTTCACTGTACTAACTATGCTAGGTACTAGAGGCCTGAGGAAACAAAGGCTTGGTCTTGCCTTGAGTGGCTTACCAACTATTGAGGAGAAAAATCTGTACACATAAAAGTTACAAACCAGAGTGGTATGTGCTATAGCACAAGTAAATAATACAGACTTGCACACTATAGAAGATCCAAGAAAGATATTATGGGCTGGAATTGTGTGCTTTCTTGACTGAGTCCGGGGGATAGTTTGATATAATGGGAAAAACACAAGACAGTGAATTGGAAGACCAGGTTTTCACTTCCACCACTTGTTACCTATCGTAACATCATGACTTAAGCTTTCTGAAGCTAATTTCTCTCACATGTAAATTGGAAATCATGATCATAATAATACTTTTTCTGTTTACTTCTTTAATTTGTAAATCATACAATCAAATAAAATTATATAAAAATGTTCTGACAACATTAAAGTATGATTACAACCTAAGGTGTGTTTTAATTTTTTTAAGGTTTTATTTATTTATTTTTAGAGAGAGGAGGCAGGAGGAAGAAAGAGAGGAAGAGAAACATCAATGTGCAAGAGATACACAGATCAATTGCCATTCACAGGCCCCCAAATGGAGACCTGGCCCGCAACCCAGGCATGTACCCTGACCAGGAATCGAATCAGCAACCTTTCGGTTCATGGGTCAGCGTTCAATCCACTGAGCCATATCAGCCAGGGCTAATTTTAATTTTTCATTACATACCATAGTATTTATGTTCAAACACTAAGAAATGCTGGAAGTTCAATAAAAAGAGAGGTATATTTTTGGTATATGTATGTTACTTAATAGGGAGAGGTAATGACAGGGCTGTGATACAAATCTGACTTGTTTGGGGATGATTTATATTACTTATAATTATTTAGAAGCTACTAATAATTGTTATGAATAATGTAAGAATAATTATAGCCACTGTTTATTGAGCTTTTATTATGTGCCAGGGACTCTGCTAGAACTTTTTGTGCATTTTCCTGATTTAATCTTCTCAACAATCCTGAGACCCAACTATTATTGTCCTATTTCCCAGGGGGGAAAACTCTGAGTCAGAATGATTGTCCTTTGGCGAGGTCACACAGCTAGTAAGTAAAGAGCAGGATTTGAACCTAGATCTGCCTAACTTCTAAGCCAGTAATTTCCATAATTTTGGAATATCACCCAAAATGTGATTGTAAACTTAGAACCAAATGAAGTGGCTTGATGAGTTAAATCAGAAGAAATAGGTATTTAAACAGTACATTATTTTAAGCAAAGGTGAAGTGAGGAAAGAAGTTACAGAGGAAACAAAGGCCAGCTCATGCAAACTTGTGTGCCATGTGTGAGAATTTAAAACTTGATTCTGTGGGTAATCGGGAGCCTCTGAAGGTTTCAAGTACAGAAATGCAATCACCGCTCGCCCGCACAGAATTGTTGCTCCATACCTACTTAATGAACAAATGAATAAATGGGATTTGTCTTTTAGAAAGGACGACCTGGTGACAATGTGCAATATGGTTTGGAGGGAAGACTGAAAGTAGGAAAATGACTGTCAGAGTCTGGGTGAGGATGGCAGAGCCTGAACTGGCGGTATGCAGGAGCTGGCTGGTACTGGGTTGGAGAGCCAACTGCGTGTGTCTGCCCAACTTTAGGTTCAGTGACATGAGGTTGATATTTTGTAATCAGTCAGCCTGGTGGGAGTATTTAAACCACAGATGTTGGCAAACACTACAAATTAGGTCTTTCATTTTGAAGAGCTGATTTACCAACATACTATTGGCCTGAAAATAGGTTGGAGAGGAGGGACTAGCTTCCTCTTGCTGATGAGGAATCAGCAATATTTAGCGTCACTTGGTTGACAGGGGAGGAGTGTCAGTGGGGGGAGATTATAAAATGATTTATCAAATTATAGGCTTGGATGAGATAAATGGGATACTGGTGCCTCTTAACAAGAGTTGTTCAAGGTAGGGGAAAGAGAGTGAATTCTGTTTGGGGAAAATTGAAGTATGTGGGCGTGGTGGTGCAGGCGTCCAGAAGACAGTGGTTACATAGATATGGGACTAAAAGGAGAGGTCTGGCTTCAATATTAAATATGGGTTCAGTATAAAATATAACTTACAGTTGAAGCATCAGAGTAGATGAATTGTTAAAATAAAGGGACAGAACCCTGAGAAAAGCTGCAGAAAATCTTCATGTTTTATAAAGTAAATATAGATGAAGCCATATGTCTTCGTTCAAAGAAGGAGAAAGTAGGTAGAACTGTATTTTCTTTGTAATTACTGCTTTTGGAATAAAATCACTGCAGTGTATGTGTGTTTTAAAGAATACTGGTTATCTGATGAAAGCGGGCATGTGACAGATCAGATTTACAGGAACTTTATAGCAATATTTATCAGAATGACACTTAAAAATAACAGATTTAATAATCCAAAACAAGATTAACACATCAAACATCTGAAAGAACAAAAACATTCTATAAAACTAGAAAACAAATTATTCCCAAACTGGTATTACATATATATATATATATACACACACACACACACACACACACACACACTTCTCTTTTGGTACTAAGTTGTAATTGTTTATTTCTTTTTCTGTGCCATTAAATTGTACTGGGGGGTGAGGAAGTGCTGTGTCTGTCACCTGTGTTAGGGGGCTTGTGCTCTACGTCCTGTGTATTCAGAAAAAAAAATCTTTTGTGACAGGATTGGAGATTTGAACAGATGATCTAGAAGGTCCCTTTCAACCCTAAGAGTATGAAAAGGGAAGCTGTGATAGTTCCTTACCACTTAAAGGAAGTGATCTTCAGTCCTTTGTAGCACCGAAGGGCCAATGTCTCAAAGCTATAGAAAGGAAGTAGAGTCTCAGCTCAATATCACACAGGTTAAGAATTTTCGATCAATTACAGCTTTCCAACAGAGGAAAGGCTGTTTAGGAGATGGCTATCTTTGAAGTAAATACAATGTAAAAGCTGGAAATGTTCTTAGATATCTTAGTTTAGGTCTTCCCAATTTTTTCATGTCATTGCCTACACAGAAAAATGGTTGTACAGCACATCAATCAATATCTCAAAGTGTACTTGACACAAGTTCTCAGGGCTTTAGTTGGGAAAACTGATCTAATATAAATAATAAACCCTCATTTGCAGTGGGAAAAATTGAGTAAGAGAGGGGATACGACATTCCTGGTATAGACGTTAATGTTGGTGTTGGGGCTAGAACTCGCGTTTTACTAGCCTACAGACAACTAACTAGCCTAAGTCTCCTACCCGTAATTAAGCAAGGTTGCGAGTCAGGGCTGAAGTTCAATGTTAGCTGCAGTAGATGGGACGATAGTCTGGATTAGTGTTGCTTTAAGTGTAGTCCGATGACCACTGGCACTAGAACTTGTCCAACCTCGGGGAGCTCATTAAAAACGGAGATTCAAAGGCACCACACAGACACACTGAATCGGGCGCTGAGATAAGGCCCGGAAATATGCATTTTTAGGTTTGAAAACACGCCCCATCCTCTACCCCACTCCCCCACAGTACTTTCTGCTCCAGCTCCTGCAAGAACTGAGCAGCTCTGCTGGGCGCTCAGCATCCACCAATCTGACCTCAGAGCAGCGTGGGCGGCGCGTTTTCTGATTGTAAACTGTTACGTACTAGCCCTGCGGCCAGCAAGCACTTGCGGACGCCAACCAAGGCCCAGTCCCGATGAAGAGGGCCGCCGTACCTCCATCACCTCCTGGCCCCACTGCGGAACCCACTGCGGAGGCGGGGGCCGGGGCCAGAGGCGGCTCTGCAGCGCCCCTTTGAGGCTAGGGCCTCCGCAGCGAGCCGGGCTGCCCGTTCTCCTTCACCGCTCCCGAGCTCCTCCACCATTTCTGCAGCCCCGCCCAAGTGGGTAGCCACTAAGGCGCCTGCGCCAAATTTGCTCCATCCCAGCCTATCAACCAACAGGAAGTTAATAGGTTTCCCATAGTGCCTCGCGAGTGGAGGGGTTTGATTGCACTCCTAGGAGGGCTGAATACAGGTTCAAGTTGTCTTTGTTGGGGTTGTCGTGTCGGGCCTGGGTGCGCTACGAGATTGCGGGTCCGTCACTGCCTGCTCCGGCGGGTGCAATGCCGCTTCTTCGGGGTGTGTGGGGCGTGCTGAGTGCCCTGGGAAAGTCGGGAGCGGATCTCTGCGCGGACTGTGGGAGCCGACTGCGCTCCCCTTTCAGGTAAGACCATGAGACTGGAATGTAGACCGTTTCTTCCCCGTTCTGCGCCCCTGCGGCACCCCCCCCCCCCGCCCGCTCTTTCCCCGGCCCGGGAGGTCACGGCTGCCTAGACCCTTTAATTCAGACCCCGACCTTACGGGGGGGTGGTGGTAGCTGTGCGGGCTTTATCCAGCAGTACCCCATGCTTTGTTTTCGGGCACCTTCCACCTTCCCGCCCCTCCTCTCCGTCCGGCCTTGGAGCACCTGGTTGTTTGGTGTTCTTTGTAAAATTGCCGCGACACTCTCCCGCCTTCATCTACGCATGTAGGAGGCGGGGCCCAGGAGCTGCAGTAGAGGTGCGTTCGCTCCTCTCTGCCCTTCGTAGGAGGTAAGCGCTTGGAGTTAGGCTTCAGTTTTGCAGGCTCTTTCCTCTGGTTAGAGCACGATTTTAAATGTCACTAGCTTTTTTTTTTTTTTTTTGTCGAAGGTGTCAGAGATACAGCATCTTGATGACATCTTATTTGGGACCTATTTATATGCATGTGACACTGGTTATTTTCTTTTTATTTATGTAGTTTTGTGTATATACCGAGATGGTTTTCATCTACCTTAAGAAGTTATCCAAAGAAGCCTATGACTTCATATGTTCGCTTTTCTAAAGAACAGCTACCCATATTTAAAGCTCAGAACCCAGGTAAGGCGTTTTGGGGCTTTCACACTCTTCTCTGATATAATAAAGAGCCCACTAAGCAGTTAAACTGCGAAGCTGATTTTCACTACCAAACGATCCAGTGACTGCAGGAACAAAACTATTTTAATTGGTGGTCTGTGAAATAGCAGGTCTAACATTTTATTTTGACAAAGTGGAAATACTAAATATAATTGAGAACTTATGATAGGTATTTTATTTTTTAAGGTTTTATTTATTTATTTTTAAAGAGAGGGGAAGGGGGAAGAAAGAGAAAGAAACATGTGAGAGATAGACATCGATCATTTGCTTTTCACAGGCCCCCAACTGGGAACCTGGGCCTGCAACCCAGGCAATGTGCCCTGACCAGGAATTGAACCAACAACCTTTTGGTTCCCGGGCCAGGACTCAATCCATTGAGCCACACCAACCAGGGGGAAAGGTATTTTAAAAATACCTCCATTTTGAGCCCAGTTGCCCATGGCTTAAAAGTCCATTGATGAATCATTTTATCCCTTGCTTAGCTCCTTGCCTGAGAAAATTGTTCATGGAAGTTGTAGTGAAACAACTTCTGTGGAAGTGTTCTGAACACTTTAAAGCTCCATACAAAGTAGTGCTAACTAACTTCAAGAGCTTTTGCACGGAAAGATTTCCAGATAGCATGTTTTATAACTCCCTAGAGAGAGGCTGTAGGTCTTCCTTTGGGGTTGTAGTGTAAAGTTAATAGCTAACCTATGCTTGTGATTTCTAAAGCCTTGTCACAAGCAGTACATCACAGGACACTTCTAAAAATCAAATGAGCTATAATAAAAATTCTCAAAAAATTGGTTTATGAGACATGCTTAAGTGCTCACACCTTTTAAAGTGTAGAAGTTGAAACTAGTAAGTGGTTTGGTAAAGCATTTTCACCCTGCCATTTTAGTTAAGATAAGTTAGGAAATTGGGAATAATGAGTTGATTTTAGAAAAATTTAGTTTGTTTGCAAATGGTATTTCTGTAATTAAAATCCAAGATGGTGTTATATGAATCAAGACTGTATTTTGTTCTTTATTCAGGTGTTGTGAACTTAATTAGTAAAAAACTTGGAAAAATGTTTGATTAATATATAAAGTGCAGGATGAAATTGATTGCCCAAATGCTTATACTAGTAATCAATTTCTGAAGATCATTTGATATACTCCTTGATTATTAGATAATAGACTTTAAAATTTGGATAAAGTATTTTTTAAATTTATTTATTTTAATTGTTGTTCAGGTACAGTTTTCTGTCTTTTACTCCCAACCTAGTCCACCCCCCCCCCCAGTGCTCCCACCTCCCTCCCATTTCCACCCCCCTTTAGTTTTGTTCCATGTGTCCTTTATACTTGTTCCTGTAAACCCTTCCCCTTTTCCCCTGAAATTCCCTCCCCTCTTCCCTCTGGTCACTGTCATCCTGTTCTCTACTTCAGTGTCTTTGGTTATATTTTGCTTGCTTGTTTGCTTTGTTGTTTAGGTTCCTGTTAAAGGTGAGATCATATGGTATTTGTCTTTCACTGCCTCACTTATTTCACTCAGAATAATGCTTTCCAGTTCCATCCATGTGGGATAGGAGCTCCTTCTTTCTTTCTGCTGCATAGAATTCCACTGTGTAAATGTACCATAGTTTTTTGATCTATTCATTTACTGATGGGCACCTAGGTTGCTTCCAACTCTTGGCCATTGTAAATTGTGCTGCCAAGAACTTTGGGGTGCATAGGTTTTTTTGGATTGGTGTTTCAGGGTTCTTAGGATATAATGCTAGCAGCAGAATTGCTGGGTCAAAAGGCAGGTCCATTTTTAGTTTTCTGAGAAAATTCTACACTGTTTTCCATAGTGGTTGTACCAGTCTGCAATCCCACAAGCAGTGAACTAGGTTCCCCTTTTCTCCACAACCTCTTCAACACTTGTTTGTTGCTTTATTTATGATGGCCATTCTGACTGGTCTAAAGTGGTATCTCATCGTGGTTTTAATTTGCATCTCTCTGATAGCTAGCAATATTGAGCATCTCTTCATGTGTCTCTGGATCCTCTGTATGGATAAAGTATTAAATTTATCATAAAATTAATTGGTTAAAGAAAAGCTAAATAATTGTATTAAATTGTGTGTGGTGTAGAGGTATCAAATAAAACATGTTTAGAGTTAATATATTATGATTTCCTGGCTGTCTTTAGAAAAAAAAATTAATCCTGAGACATAAAATTGTGGCATCTTTTCTCATTCCAATCCATAGGTGCAAGAAATTCAGAACTGATTAAAAAAATCGCAGAGGTATGGAGGGGACTTCCTGATTCAGAGAAAAAAGTAAGCATACAGGTTTTCAACATTGTTGACCAAGTTATTCTGCAGTTAGGAACAATTGTCATGCCTTTTAAGAGACCAGATGACCCAGAGTTTTATTTATTTATTTTTAAACATCCATTATTTACAAGGAAGTTTATACCTTCTGATCTATATAAATTATGAGAATACCGATTATGGGGGTGGTGATGAAGGGCAATGACATTGAAGGCTAACCGCTAGACTCTGAGGTTGGTTAGCATGTATATGAAAAAAAAAACAACCCATGATTTTGGTCCATATAAATATCCCAGAGCACATTTTCCATTCCATGGTTCAGTCTGTCTTTACCTAAGTCATGCAGTTGTCTTTCCTTGGCAGATGTGCTATGTTTAATTGGCCAGAAACAATGTATTGACTTTTTTTCACTGTTGTATGTGCTTTGAACCACTGTTTTAACCACTAGGCCATAGAGATAGTTATTGACTATTTTTTAAAATTTATTTATAGGTATATGAAGATGCTTACAAGGCAGACTGGCAGGCGTACAAACAAGAGCTAATCAGAATTGAAGAAGAGCTAACTCCAAGTCAGAGGGTAACTTTAGAAAAAGAAATGATGCAAAAACGTTTAAAAAAGAAATCGATAATAAAAAAGAGAGTGAGTATTATTGAAATATTCTCTTGACAAAGAACTGAAACTTACATAAAGAATGAATATAGGTAGTTTTCTCTTTGATGATATGTGTGGTTATATGGTGTGTGTACTCTAGTTAGGAAAAATGGGATAGTCATCTTCTGCCATTAGGATCATTTGTTATTGAGTCCATCTTGGAAACCCTTGTTGCTACCTTGGCATGTAGGAATAGTAAGAATCTTTGCTTCTGAGTCTTGTCTAGAATAGCCTATTGATTTGAATAGTTTTATAGGTAATGGTGAATTTGATTCTGAATATTGCTAATAGACTGCATTTAATAACACATCAGGGAAAAGTACCTATTGTATCTAATTATATAAGTGCCTTTAAGATAAATCTTTTTTTTTTTTTTTTTCCTCATTAAAAACCTCACATGAGCCCTGGCTGGTGGAGCTCAGTGGATTGAGCACGGCTTGCGAACCAAAGGATCGGAGTTCGATTCCCAGTCAGGGCACATGCCTGGGTTGCAGGCCAGTTCCCAGCAGGGGACACATATGAGGCAACCATACATTGATATTTCTCTCTCTCCTTCCCTTTCCCTCTACAGATAAGTAAATAAAATCTTTAAAAAAAAAAAAAAAACCCACATGATTCCACCCTGGCTTGTGTAGCTTAGTGGATCGAGCGCGGGCCTGCAAACCAAACGAACACGGTTCGAATCCCAGTCAGGACACGTGCTGGGTTGCAGGCCAGTTCCCAGCAGGGGATGCAAGAGAGGCAACCATACATTGATATTTCTCTCCCTCTCTCCTTCCCTTTCCCTCTAAAGATAAATAAATAAAATATTTTTTAAAAAACCCACATGGTTCAAAAATTGTAGTTCGTAGCTCAAGGTATTAATTCACACAAATTCCATTGTTTGAAAGTTAGACTACATTTTTGTATACAAACAGTTTTAGGTGTGAGGTGCTCAGTACATAAGTACAGAAAATGGTCATCAGTTTAAACTACTCTGAAAAAGTAGATTACAGCCTTTAATGTGAGATGCCAAGGTATGTATCCATGACCTTAATGTTTTGAGTCCTAAGGACTCAGCGATTTCAAGGCATTATCTGAGGTTGTTGATCCAATTAGTAAAAGGATCCAGAAAAGAAACCAAGTGTGAGAAATACACTTTCTGCATAGGGATGGTAACGTGGAGGGGTGAGTACTAAAGTTGATTCTTCCTCTTTTACTCTCCCTTTCTCTTTAGTGCACCCAGCCACTGGTCAGAGTGGCAAGGATCAGAAGGGAGCATTGGGCAGGTAGAGGGGCTTTCTCTTTCAAATATTACTTGTCTTCCTTTATCTCTTCTGGTATTCCCAATATGCTTTTTATCTTTAGAGGAGAAGGGAAGGAGAGAGGGAGAGATTAAATATCAGTGCATGGTTGCCTCTTGCATCCCCTGCTGGGAACTGGCCTGCAACCCAGGCAGGTGCCCTGACTGGGAATGAACCGCAGTACTTTGGTTGGTTCGAAGGCCCGCGCTCGATCCACTGAGCTACTCCAGCCAGGGCCCAATATGCTTTTGTTACACCTCTTGTAGTTGTCCCATAGTCCTTGGTATTCTGGGTTTTTTCCCCAAAGTCTCTGTTTCCTTTGTTTTAGTGTTTTCAGGGATTTTGTTAATATGTTTTCAAGGATTTTGTTAATAAGTCCTCTAGATCAGATTCTTTTGCAGCTGCATCCAGTTTACTAACAAGCACATCAAAGGCCTTTATTTTAGTTAGTGTTTTTGCCCTCTAGCATTTCTTTGTGGTTCTTTCTTTGGATTCCCATCTTGCTGCTTACTTTACTCATCTGTTCTTGCTTGCTTTCTGCATCCCTTGGTGTATTAATCATAGTTGTTTTTAAATTCCTCATCTGGTAATTCCAACATCCCTGCCATGTTTCTTTGTCTCTTCCAACCATGTTTCTTTGCCTCTTAGTATGTCTTGGAATTTTTTCTTGATAGCTTGGCTTGATATACTGGGTACGAGGAATTGCTGTTAAATAAGCCCTAATACGGTGGCAGGGGTGGGGGCAAGGGAAGTTTTCTCTAGCGCTGTGATTAGGTCCCAGTCTTTCAGAGATCCTATGTGTCTCTTCTGTGAACTGCATTAGCATTTCTCAATTTCCTCTCTTCCGCTTAGGATAGGATGGCTAGAGTGGGCTAGACTTCCGTATTTTCCTTCCTTTGGGTCAGTTAGGATCTGATAATACCACAGAAGGCTAGCTCTGATTAACTAGTTGCCCCTGAGGGCAGGCCTTGTGAAGAATAAAGGAGTGCTCAGACATTTCAGAATGGCTCCTTGTCCCCTCCCCCTGCTGAAAGCAGTGGTGGGGGCGGGCGGGTATTTTTCTAGATACTTATTTGGGGGGGGATCTGGTCAAGCTTCTGAAGTTGTAGCCCCCACATTAGTACGAGGGCCCTCCTGTGACAGGGTCCTCTGGAGTTGTCCGCACGGAACCTCGGAGCACACTGCAGTTTGTTCCTTACGGTTCAGGCTTCCTGGCCAGCTCTGGTTCGGGCAGCCCGTCCTCCTGAGTCCCTGCTCTGGTAATCCTCGACTCTCTGTCCGCTTGTCTGTGTCCAGTCTGGGGGCCAGCCGCAGTGTGCTGTGTGTCCTCTCATGGATCCAAGAAGCGTTGTGGATTTTCCAATCCGTTCGGTTTTATACTTGTGAGGAAGTAGCAACTTCTAAGCTCTTTACATGGCGAACCTGCAGCCTGAGGGTTTTTCCCCTTGTATTTCCTTTCCCACTCCCTGTTGGCATTCCCCCCCCTCCCATGAAAGACTGCCAGCACCAAATAGTTCAGCCATCAGGTGAGAAGTGTGGGAATTGGGAAGTTGCAAGCGCATCATCTAGGAGAGAAATCCCTAGTAATAATTCTGGAAATAAAAGGGGCAATAATTAAGTTGTGAAATCTACAGGAATTTCATGAAATGTTCAGGAAAAAGGAAGTGATTTTTCATTGGAATCAGAGGAGATTGTTTTATCTTTAAAAAAAGATATGTACCTATATGCTCAATTATTCAGTTCATAGAGACCATGAAAATAATATGTAACAGAAATGTATGGAAAATAACTCATAAAGTGTATTATAATGTTCAAAACTTAGTGGTATCAAAATTCTTACCCCAGAAGGAAATAATCACATTCTTTATATAAGAATCATACATTCATTTTAAGGAACATTCTGCATAATACATAATAGTGAATACAGTTTCTGTGAGTGAAATTAAGTCTCATGGAAGTTAAAACTATCTAACTCTTCCATTTTCATTACTTAGGAGTTAACACTGCTTGGAAAACCGAAAAGACCTCGCTCAGCTTATAACATTTTTATATCTGAACGCTTCCAAGAAGCTAAGGATGGTACCTCACAGGTAAAATAGAACCGTATTTGCTTTTTAAATTTTTGTTTATTTTAATTTTTAAAATATTTCAGAGATTTACGGGTGCCATATGTCAGGTGGTAAAGAAAAGGAATAAATTACTATAAACAAGTACAATATACAAGTAAGGCCCTCTTTCTCATATCTCTTTAATGGAAAAGTCCTTGGTATTATCATGTACGACTGAGTATACAGTTGCCAATATGTATATCATCAACTTCTTTAATTAAAAATTTTTTTTCCTAGTTTGTAGGGTGTTAAATTTTTGAAAAGTTTTCTTATTCAGCAGTTCTTAACTGTTTTACTATCACTGGGTAAGATTAAGAGTAGAGCTGTAATAATTTGTACTGGAATTTGAGCCCAACCTGCTCCTTTATGTTCTGTCCTTTAATAAAATGAAATTTTAGTCATGCCCATAGGAGTGTCTTATATATGTGTACATTGTTGTGCGAATGTGTCAAAGAAAGATAGTTAATTCCTGTTGTAGCTTAGTCTTTTTTCCTTCTTAGAAGCTCCAAATTGGCAGTCCTATTTTTCCTTTTATAATACGACATGGTAAGAAAAATGTATGTTTAAATCTTTATCTCTTATCAATCTGAGATGACGGTTTTTGCCACTCTGCCTTTTTGGGTCATTTGGGTCTGTAGCTCATTTCACAAATCCTGTTTAACGTGTGATTAAATAATGTCTGTATGTGATGTCTTCTTTGACCAGATACTTTCATTAATTCATTCCCTTTGGGGTTTTAAATTCAATTTCTTTCTATGGCCCTACATTACTAATATGCAAGCTTATTGACTATTTTAGATGGAATTAGCTCAGTCATTAATTTACCTTAGATTTAATTTCCTTATCAGCATGAGAAGGTTATATGCTAGAGAATTCTAGATTAGTAGTTCTTAACTCTGACTAAAATAAAATAAATAAATAAATGAAATAAAGTAAAGCATGTTGGAATCACCAAGAAAGTTTAATGGCTGGTTCCTATCCCAGGAAATGAAAATTAAGTTTACTATGTCATTTTATTCGTTAATAAGATAGTAGTTATTCATCCTTACAATTTAAAGAATCAAAGTATGGCTGGTTAAGAAAGATACTAGTTTTCACTGCCCTGTCCTATTTCTTCCTCTAGAAGCAGATTATACTGTTTTAGCTGATTATTATGGTATTCATCTCCATATCTCTAAATAACATTCTTATATTGTTATTTCTTGATTTTTTTTTCAGTTTTAAGCATTAGCTATACTTAAGGTATTATCTCCCATTATTTAAGATGAACACTGAACTCTCCCAAATTCTTCACGTTTCCATATTACCTCCCAACATTGTTATCATTATTTTGGTTAGATCAGTTATTTCTCTTTTAATTACTGTATTTTGCTGTGTGTAATGTGCACTTTTTTGCCCAAATTTTTGAGGGATATAAGGATGCACATTGTACATGGGCTTAATCACATTATAATTATGTGAGTATAATAACCCTGTGTGTAATGTGCATAAAACATAGGCTCGCATTATATGCAGGAGCACATTATACAAGCTGTGCCATTTGCAATGATTATTTCGCTTTTCTTGCAAAACTTACTTGGCTTGAACTTGGTAATGTTTTGTTTTCTTAGTTTTTTGGTACTATCAATAATTTTTCTGTTGAGCGTGGGCCTGCAAACCACACGATCGTGGTTCGATTCCCAGTCAAAGCACATGCCTGGGTTGCAGGCCGGTTCCCTGCAGGCCAGTTCCCAGCAGGGGACGCACAAAAGGCAACCATACATTGATGTTTCTCTCCCTCTCTCCTTCCCCCCCTTCCCCGCTAAAGATAAATAATAAAATATTTAAAAATAAAATAAATAAATAAATAAATAAATAAATAAATAATTTTTCTGCAAACTTTGTAATATTCACCAGCTTTCAGTACATTATAGATACATTAAATATTCTTTTGTTTCTAGTATTCCTTTCGTTTTTCTTTTTTTTATTGTTTTTTCCTACTACCATGTATCCACCTTATACCCTTTTCCACTTCTATCCATCTCCTAACTCCCGCAACCAGCACACTGTTGTCCATGTCCATGAGTCCTTTTTCTTTTTTGCTCAATCCCTCTACCCCCAAACCATGCCCCCCTCAAGAGCTGTCAGCTTGCCCTCGATCTATGAGTCTGTTTTGCTTGTTAGTCTAGTTTGTTCATTAGATTCCACAAATGAGTGAGGTCATCTGGTACTTGTCCTTCTCTGACTGGTTTATTTCACTTAGCATGATGTTCTCCAGGTCCATCCATGCTGTCACAAAAGGTAAAATTTTCTTCTTTTTTATGGTAAAGTAGTATTCCTTTGTGTAAATACACCATAGTTTTATTCATTCAATACTGTTGGACATTTGGGCTGCTTTCAAATTATCGCTGTTATAAATAGCGCTGCAATGAATATAGGGGGTGCTTATGTTCTTTCAATTTAGTCTTTCATGTTTCTTTGGATAAATTCCAGAAGTGGTATCGATGGGTCAAAAGGCAGATCCATTTTTAATTTTTTGACGTATCTCCATACTGTTTTCCACAGGGCTGCACCAGTCTGCATTCCTACCTACAGTACAGAAAGGTTCCCTTTTTTCCATATCTTCTCCATCACTTGTTTGTTAATTTATGGATAATAGCCATTATGACAGGTATGAGGTGATATCTCATTGTGGTTTTAATTTGCATTCCTCTGATGATTAGTGACCTTGAGCATCTTTTTATATGTCTGTTGGCTATCTGTATGTCCTCTTTGGAGAATTGTCTGTTCAGGTCCTTTGCCCATTTTTTACTTGGATTGTTTGAGGTTTTTTGGTGTTGAGTTTTATAAGCTCTTAGTTTTATAAATTTTGGGTATTAACCCTTTATCAGATGTATCATTGGCAAATGTGTTCTCCCATTTGGTGGGTTGTCTTTTCATTTTATTGGTGGTTTTATTCGCTGTGCAAAAACCTTTTATAGTTTGATGTAGTTCCATGTGTTTTTCTGTTTGTTTGTTTCCCTTACCTGAGGAGATATATCAGAAAAATACTGCTATGAGCAGTATCTGAGATTTTACTGCCTGTGTTTTCTTCTAAGATTTTTATGGTTTCAGGTCTAACATTTAAGTCTTTGATCTATTTTAAATTTATTATTTTGTGTGGTGTTTCATTTTTTTTGCCTGTATCTATCCACTTTTCCTAACACCATTTATTGAATAAACTAACTTCAGCCCATTGTATGTGCTGGCTTCCTCTGTCAAATATTGACTGTGAAGGCGTGGGTTTATTCTGTTCTGTTCTATTGATCTGCACCTATTTTTATGCCAGTACCGTGCTGTTTTGATTACTATGTCCTTATAATATAGTTTGATGTTAGGTAAGGTGATTCCTCCAACTTTGTTGTTCTTAAGATTGCTATTGCTCTTGGGGTGTTTTGTGGTTCCATATAAATTTTTGGAGTTGTGGGGGTGCTCTACCCACTGAGCCCCCCCCCCCCCCCCCCCCCCCCATCCACCATGGATGAGAGGATGACAATAAGTCTACCAAGACATAATCTGTTTGGGGAAGAAGGGTAGCCTATCTCTCAAAGGAGAAGGGCTTTGACCCTATTCCTCGATGGGCTTTTATTGGTTTCAGTTTGCATATGAATACAGGTAAAGCTCATCCATCATTGTCAGACAGTAATGATCAGACAATACATAACATTCAAAGAACTATGAGGGCTTATTATGAGTCAGGGTCAGACAGTCAAAGGGCCAAGAAACTTTTATAACACTCATTTTAAGCTTGGACCCTTATCATTTAAATTGAAGACATTCTTAGCAAGCAAGTTTCATAGGGCCTTATGCATTCTTTTTTAGGCCTGACTGCCCCCAGGGAACCGCCCATTCCAGCACAGGGCCCCACCCACCTCTGACATTGCTTTAGGCTTAAGCCTGGCATTTTAGGTTTAAGTCAGGCAAGAGAAGTAAAGTAGCCAAGAGATTAGGAGACTTTTTACAGATAGAATGAGGACCCAGGCCTTTGAAAAGCTAAGATGTGAGGGTTCATCACCCCTTTTCTGTAGTCCCCTAAGTCCTCTGAGGGCCCCTTTGCCACTGTGCCTGTCTTAGGTCTTCCCTCCCTTAAGGACTCTCATCTATCATTGGCTAACCAGCCATCTGCTGGGGGCCAGGCAGAGTGAAATAAAGTGGGCAGAGGTGGTGCCCTTGCTGGGAAGATAAGCTTTGTCTCCTTAGTGATTTATGGTTTCAGTGTCTTTTTACTCAGCCTTAGCCACCAGGGATTATAGGTTCTGAAACCAGGCAGCACGGTTCCCAACACGGAATATCTGTTCTAGTTCTGTGAAATACAGCATTGGTACATTGATAGGAATTGCGTTGAATCTGTAGATCATTATGGGTAGTGTGGACATTTTAATGATTTTAATTTTTCCTATACATTAACAAGGTATGTGCTCCCACTTATTTGTATCATCTTCAATTTCTTTCTTCAGTGTCTTATAATTTTCTGAGTACAGGTTTTTTGACATTCTTGGTTAAATTTATTCTTAGGTGTTTTATTCTTTTTGAAGTAATTGTGAATGAATGGCATTGTTGTCTTTCTTTTTTTGGCATTGTTTTCTTAATTTCCTTTTCTGATATAGTTCATTATTGGCATATAAAAATACAACTGATTTCTGGATATTTATTTTGTATCCTGCTACTTTGCTGAATTTATTTGTCAGTACTAGTAGTTTCTTGGTGGAATTTTGTGGGTTCTGTTTGTACAGTGTCATGTCATTTGCAAATAGTGACAGTTCTACTTCTTCCATTCCAGTTTGGTTCCCTTATATTTCTTCTTCTTGTCTGATTATAGTGGATGGCTAGGACTTCCAGTACTATGTTGAATAAGAGAGATGAAAGCGGATATCCCTGTCTTATTCTTGATCTTAAGGGGAACACTGGTAGTTTTGCCAGTTAAGTATGATGCTGAAACCGGAAAAGACACCGGAGTTGGAGCTGCCTGTCACTACCAAACCCAATGAGCAGAGACAGGGATTGAATCTTTCTGGGCGCTTTATTCAGATGGCCGGAGATCTGAGAAGATGGTGAGTTCATAACCTAACAGACCATCAGGTCCTTTCTTTCCAGACCAAGGTTTTTATAGCAGGGAGTAAACAAGGTGTAGTGAGGGTTTTTTTAAATTCAGGGAGGAGTTAGTGGATTAAAAAACCTCAAGCCTGGGCAGTGGTCTTAAGCTGTGCCTCAGGCAGTGGTCTTCTCACTCTGGAGTGCAGTGGCTCAGACAGCATCTTGAATTGCTTGCTGTCCTCCTGAGGAACAAAGGTGGAACTGCTTATGGTCTCCTGGATCAGGGCGGATCGTACCTTCAGTTCCTGGAACAAAAACTTTTACATGCTTTGATTACTAAGCTTATTAGCTATTAAGCTAAACTTTTCCAGCTCTTAAGTCCCCTATCAATGGTGGCAGTGTTTGTCATATATGACCTTTATTATGTTTAGTATATTCCCTCTAGTCCCACTTGGGATGAGAGTTTTTATCATAAATAAGTGGTGGATTTTATCAAGTGCTTTTTCTGCAAGTGTTAGAATCACGTGGTTTTTATTTTTCATTTTGTTTATGTGGTGTAGTACACTTATTGATCTTCTTTCATCATCATCCTTTTGGTGCTTTTGCTTTCTTCTGTCATCTTTCTTGGTTTACTAATTCTGTTATAGAACTTCCCAAGCAGGGTACATGGGAGATTAGCTTTTTGAGTTTTCACATGTCTCAAAATGTCTCTCTTTTAATTTTTGATAGTTTCACTGGATAGAAATGTTTTGTGTTCTTTGAAAACTTAAACAATAATACTCCTTTCTTTTGTAACTTCCTTGTATTGCTCTTGAGAAGTATAAAGCCATTTTGATTATTGGTCTTTTGAGTGTGATATTGAAACTGGAAAAGACACTGGCGTTTGAGCTGCCTGTCACTACCAAACCCAATAAGCAGAACAGGGATTGAATCTTTATGGTGCTTTGTTCAGATGGCGGGTGATCTGAGAAGATGGTGGGTTCATACCCTAACAGACCATCTTGTCTTTTCTTTCAGGGCCAAGGTTTTTATAGCAGAGAATAAACAAGGTGTGGTGAGGGGTTTTGAAATTCAGGGAGGGTCCATCAGAAGCAACATTCCCGTCCCAGGCAGTTAGGTTAGCTTTTCCCAGGGGTAGGTGGTTGTTTGCTCCTCCCTAAAACACAGTGGCCTGAATGCCTCCACTTGTAATTTTTAGCAGTGCCCCAGGAGGTCTGCTGTTTTCCCAGGAGCCAGGGATGGGCCTTATCTGTAGTCTCTGAAACAAAAGCTTCAACATGCACATTACTTGCTAGTTATAACTATTTAACTGAAACTAAAATTTTGCAACTTTTAAGTCTCCTGTCAGTATTTTGGTTTTTTCCTTTCTCTTTTTCTTTGTTCTAACTATAGAATTTTTATTACTTCTTTATGCAGTTTCTGAGTTAATATGCTAATTTTCTTGTCTGTGTTGTTTTAGCCTTTTTGCTTTTCTTTCTGGGGTTACTCTCCCGTTTCCATCATGGTATTATTGCCCTACTATACCTGGTATCCACTGAGTAACTCTCATTTTGCTGTTTTGAGAGGCCATGTCCTAGAATATGCCCATGGTCAGGATTTAACCTGTTTTTTAAAACACTTTCAATCAGTTTTCCTGACCTGACCTCAGTTTTTTACTTAACTGGTGCTGCCAGTTGTTGAGCAGCTTTGGAATTCTCCATTGTAGAACACTCCTTTCCCTACTGCTTTCCCTTCTGCCAGTGTGGGAGTAGCTCGCATGGGGTGAGTGAGCTAGGCACCATGGCTCCGTGTGCGTTTCAGCTTCCACAGTTTTGCATTGGAAGTGCTCGCTACTGTTATCTTTGTTCATATGGGTTCATGCCTTAAGTTTTTTTGTTTATTCATTTAGTGTTTTTTGGTTTTTTTGTTTAATTTTGAAATGAATAGTAGAAATTTATTGCTCAGTTTGGGAGCCTGGGCTGTCCAAGATCAAGGTGCCATCGTGGTTGCCTGCTGGTGAGGGCCTTCTTCCTGTTCATTAGCTGGCACCTTCTCACTGTCCTCACGTGGTAGAAGGATCCATTTAATGGGTTTTAGGGGTGAACACACCGTCTTTCCATCTCTTTAATTTTTTGAGTGAATTATTTTATTTAGGTGAAAGGTCAGATTACTTATGCCTGCAACTTTATAAATTATTTTTTAACTCATTGAATATGAAACTTTATGGGTTAAAGTTTATGGATAAGAAAAAGATGAGTTAGGAAAGAATCGAAAAGATTTAAAGTAATTCCTTTCAAAGCTAAGAGAGCAATTATATATTCACTAAAGTTTAAAATATCCAAAACATAATATTTGTGTAGTTTCAGGTACTACCTGATATCTTTCTTGGTGTATGTTTTTGTTGATAGGAAGATAAAATTCAGTCAAAGTTCTGCTGAGAGCAATAAAGTTATTCTCTCTTTACTTCTCCTTAAAATCACAGATGATCTTCCTGGCTTTAAACAGATACTTTTCAGACCACGTTCTTCCCTCACGTTTTCCCTTTGTTCTCTGCTTTCTGTGAGCAACAGCATAAGCAGCCTGAGGTGCGCTGACTGTCCTCTCTGCCTCTCTTCCAGCCTTGGAGTCCCTGTATCCCTTTAATTTTATAGATGAAGAACCAAGCCTTAAGGGAGGTAATAAAACTTTTCCCAAGTCCCATACTTAAGTTCAACTAAGTAGAATTGAGGGTGGTGGCATTCCTATGACTGTACCCAAACACTTGGGCACACATTTCAGAGTGAAACATTATAGAGAAGAAAAAAAACCTCTCAGTCTTTAAAGTTAAACTATAACAAAATATACTTGAATATCAGTATTTCTGTACCAAAAAAGATAAAAAGTGCACGGTAAAACTTCAACAAAATAAAAAGGCAGCCTACTGAATGGAAGTAAATATTTGCATATTATGTATCTGATAAGGAGTTAATATCCAAAATATATAAAGAGCTGGAACAACTCAATAGCAGAAAAAAATTGTGATTAAAAAATGGGCAGAGGATCTGAATAGACATTTTTCCAAAGAAGACTGTAAAGATTGCTAACAGGTACTCAGCATCACTAATTATCAGGGAAATGCAAATGAGAACTTCAGTTCACCTCAGACCTGTTGTCAATGACAAGAAATAACCAGTGTTGGCGTGGATGTGAAGAAAAGGAAATCCTTGTACATAGTGGATGGGAATGTGAATTGCCGAAGCCACTATGGGAAACAGTGTGAAGGTTCCTGAAAAATTTTAGTTAACGACTATCATATATTCATCCAACAATTTTGCCTCTGGGTAATATCCAAAGAAAGAGAAAACACTAATTTGAAAAGATAACTGAATGCCCACACCCTCGTGTTCATGGCAGCATTATTTACAACAGCCCAGATGTGGAAGCAGCTTAGATGTCTAGTGGATGAATGGATAAAGAAACTGATAATATGAATGTGAATATTATTCAACCATAAAAAGAAAGAAAACTTACCATTGCAGCAGCATGGTTGGATCTTGAAAGCATTGTGCTAAGTGAAATAAGTCAGACCAGAGAAAGACAAATACTGAATCATCTCACTTATATGTGGAATCTAGAAAAAGAAATACCTGAGCTCATAGATTTAAAAAAAAACAACATATTGGTGGTTGTCAGGGATGGGGGGTGGACAGAATGGGTGAAAGTGGTCCAAAGGTGCAGACTTCCGGTTACAAGATACGTCTTGGTATTGTAATGTACAACACAGTGACTAGAGTTAATACTATATTGCATATTTGAAAGTTGCTCAGAATATCCTAAAAGTTCTTAAAAAGTTTTGTTGACAGATATTAACTATTAACTAGACTTATTGTGATGATCATTTCACAGTATATACAGTAATATTGAATCATGTTGTACACCTGAAACTGGTATGTTATATATCAATTATATCTCAATAAAAGATAAATATCTTTATTTCAGTCATTTTGTATATTTTAGGAGTTTAATAGTCTAATTTAGAAAGAAGAGATGTTAAGAATTGATGAGGCTTTACCCGTGATTCTTAATATCTGAGTTTTTGTTGAAATGATTAATAAAGAAATTTTTCTTTAATCACTAAAGTTCGTGTATCTGGTATGTAAACATGTGTTGTTTTGCAGTTAAAGCTGAAGGCTGTAAATGAAAGCTGGAAAAATCTTACTAGTTCTCAAAAGCAAGTAAGTATCGTTTTAATCTCAAGTATCTAGTTAGAGTATCTGTGAGAGGATGTATCTAATAACACAGGGAGAGTATTTTTAAGTAATTTTCTATTCTTAGACTCAGTTTGGCTTTTTTCTTTTGGAAGTTTTTAACTGCAAATAAAATTGGTGTTTAAAGCAGTGTCACTCCGAGTTTAGTGCCCAGTGTATCCAGTGCCAGTCGCACTGTGCCTCCGTTCCTTTCCCACGTTCCCCAGCCCTGAAGCTGTAATAACTCAGTACAGAATCTTGGTCTCTTACCTTTTTCTCATCTAATTTTTTATCTCACAAAACATTCTTCCTCGGTCCCCTTTTATACATGTAGAAGAGTAAGGTAATTTTTATAGTATATATTGGAAGCATTCCAGAAATTAATGGCAAAGACTCTTCTAAAATTACTTTAACAACTACACTTTTTCTCAGGTATATATTCAACTTGCTGAAGATGATAAAGTTCGTTATTTTAATGAAATCAAATCTTGGGAAGCACAGATGGTTGAAGTTGGACGTGATGATCTTCTTCGTCGCAAAGTGAGGCCCCCAGCCAAAAGCACTGAGGAGTGTTAAATGGAAGATTGAGTTATGATCATGCTGGATAGACACAAGAAACCAGTTAGGTCTCAATGTCTGAAATTCTTAGAGAATTAGAAGGATAAAGTTGGTAAACATTTTATACTTAATTTCTTTGTCTTTATGCCATGGACTTCTGCCAGTCCAATACATTTTGTATTGGTATCTTACTTTGGAAAACTGAAACATAACAAAAGTTCGTGTGAAGTTTATTTTGTGTTTAGAAACTGTAGAGGATCAAGATAATCCATGAAATGTATCAGTAACCATTTTACCTTTGATAAAGGTGACTCAGACTGTGAAGGTGTTTTATAACACTTGATGGCTATGGCAAGGACATTCTTGTCTCCTTATATTATGGAGGCAGGGTTTCCTATTCAGGAGTGTCCCAAATTGTAGAGCCATCGTGTTCTGTGAGTAATAGTGCATTTTTTTAAAGAGCACCCAGAACCCATTTAGGTAAATTCCAATTTGTAGATATAATTTACATTCAGGACTAATGGTTGTACAGGCAAGGGCTTGCTGGTTTCAGCTGCAAATTTTTGTACAAGAGATGGACAGGTTTGTAAGCCTTTTCCTCATTGTCTTTTTTCCTAAAGTAAAAACTAAGGCGTTATGTACTAAATCTATGCATATTGTTTTATATTGCATAGAATTAAATTTTTGTTTCCTAATTACATGTTAAAGGTGAAACATTTGTTTTACAGCTTCTTTTTTTTTTTCTTTTAAAGTAGGGATATGTCTTACTTTTTCTCTCATGTGAGTGTATTTATCCAGAAAGTAGAGAACTTGTCTGGTAAGTTTTAAAATGAGAGATTGCCAAAACAGAAGTCTCCAAAGTCTCTGGACCTGGAACCTATCTTTTTAAAATGTTTTATATGACATAAAAGACATATAAGGACAGCCAACTCTAGCCTGTGGGCCCAGTTCCACCCACTGCCCCTTTTCATGGCCTGTGAGCTCAGAATTTTGTTTACAATTTTTAATGGTTAAAAAAGCATATTTTAAGACATGAAAATTAATATGAAAGTCAATGTTTATAAATAAAGTCCTGTTGGAATACGGCCATACTCATTCATTTACTTTTTATTTATGGCTGCTTTTGTGCACCAGTGACAGAGTTGAATAGTTGCTTCAGAGACTGTGGAGTCTTCAAGACCTAAAATACTTACTGTCCGGCCCTTTATAGCAACAGTTTGCCAACCCAGGGCCTGCAGCAGAGTGTGGTGTGGTGAGCGTTCCAGTCCACTGATGTGATGGAATAGGTGTTCTGACCAACTCAGAGGTTCTTATTTTAGAATTTGTCAGCCCTGTCGTTAGGAGGAAAGAGGTCAAATCACAAAAACTAAACTGTTGTCCCACAGTGTTAGCAAGCAAAATGATCTAGTTTCAAATTATGTTGTGTCATAATAAAAGAGTTCCATCTGGAGTGGAATGAGGATCTATTAAATAATTTGCTGTGCATAGGTAAAGTGAACCTTAAGAGTTTTCTAGTTAGCACAACAAAAACTTTACCATCTTTTAGCATTTGTTTATCCCCTTAAGAGAGTTAAGCAAAAGTTTTCAGAATTCACACTACCTTTTTGATCAAAATAATTCATCTTTCATCATCAGTTCATAATAATAGGGTAACTCAAAATTTATATGTACCTTATGTTGCACAAACTATTTAGGAATTCTCAATTCTAGATCTCCAAAAAAAATTTTTGAAGATTTTTGTTGCTCGTGGATAGAAAATAAGTGGTCATGCCTTGCTCTACACTGAAGTTAACAAAGGTATGGACTAACGAGAAAAGTGAAACTTAGTAGGAAGCATAAACTTGAAGTTGGGTGTTTTCAAACAGTTTCCTCCCGTGGTTGTGAATATGGGACGAAGTCTGCTGTTAGGTAGACCCCATGAGGAGAGGGGCTGGGGGAGAAGAGGTGTGCTGGGGTCTATCACAGTCTTCCTCAGCTGGGTCTCTGGGAGAGATGAAGCTCTAATTCTGTGTGACATTTAGAATGGTACTGATTATGTACCCTACTTAGGAGAATGAAGAAAATCATTGAAGTCATTTATGGTGTTCTGTGTATCAGGTAAGCCCAGGAAGCACATAGGAGTCAATATGTGTAATACAGGATAGGTGAGCTTGAGAAATGAGTTTTGTAAACATCTGGAAGATAAGTATATACAACATTTAAAATTACCTTCTTCTGAGCTCTTAGCATTCAACTACATAAGCTATTTCATACAGAATACATTCAAATCATATTTTTCCAATTAGGATGTTCAGTGTCTAGTAAGTTCTCAAGTATATAGGAGAAAAAAAGTATGAAACTGTGCCTCGACTGGTATGGTTCAGGTGGGAAGCATCCCACAAAGTCTAAGGTCACTGATTTCGATTCCTGGTCGGGACACATGCCAGGGTTGTGGGTTCAGGGCACCAATGACCACGTATCGTTTCCCTCCCTCTCTCTCTCTCTTCCCCTCCACCTCCCAAAAGTGAAACAGTGAAAAGAGCTAAAGCAGAACCATTTTATGATAATACCAATTTTTGTTTGGTTTCTTTTTTTCGTAAATGAATGTCATTGTTAATGCTTTCAATATCATCATCTGGTTCCATACCTTGATAAACTTCAGTACATGTTGAAGATTGGTATGCCATGTAGCAAACACCTTCCAGTTTAACAACATGCACATTTTCTTTATTTTATTTTTATTTTTCTTTATTGTTTTGAGAGAAAGGGGTAGAGGCAGAAAGAAATTGACTTGTTCCACTTATGTATACATTCATTGGTTGACTCCTGTCTGTGTTCTGACAGGATCGAACCTGTAACCTTGGCATGTCTGGACGATGATATAACTGAGTTACCTGACCAGGGCTAAACTCTGTTGTAAAGAATAAGAACTTACATCAGTAACCAGTAGCCACTCGTACAAAGCCTTTCTTTTTAGACTAAGTTGACCTAACAATTTGTTAGGACAAATTACTAACAAATTAGTAATTTGTTACTAATTAATTACTAGTAAATAATTTAGCTGTAGGAGCTAAAGAACAGTGCTAGGTGGACAGATATTGAAGAAATGAAGCAAAGCTGTGCTTATGCTGTTCTGAGCATGTGTTCAGAGTCAGGAGATTTCTATACTTTTGTTCACTGGAGTACCTGTCTTAAGTTTGAAATAATTAGATGACTGGAGAGGGTTGTGTGATAATTCTACTTACTGATGTTTAAAGGTATTGGCCCTGCCTGGTATAGCTCATGGATTAAGCATGGGCCTGTGAAGCAAAGGGTCACAGGTTCAATTCCCCATCGGGGTACATGCCTGGGTTTCAGGTCAGGTCCCCAGTAGGGGGAGTGCAAGAGGCAACCATACATTGATGTTTCTTGCCCTCTCTTGCTTCTTCCGTTCTCCTCTCTCTAAAAATAAAATACATAAAATCTTTTAAAAAATAAAGGATATTGTGTGAAGATTCAGCCTGCTCTAATCATGTAATTTTGCTATTGCTTTTGACTACTTTCTTGAAGATGCGGTTTTTTAAAAACAAGGTGTATATTTTTATAGATCCTATGAATGTGTGTGTATTTAAATTTCTGAATTAAAATAAGTTGATTTAAAGTAACTAGCAAATTTTATTGATTTTTTTCCTGACATTTTCTGTACCAAAAATTAATCAATCACCACCTTTAAGATTTTATATTGTTAAGCAATAGTATTCATTGTTTTTCTTAATTTTATCAATATTAACATTAAGAATATTCTCTCTCTGACAGCCACTCTTCCTCCTTCACCATTTATCTCTTATGGACAAATTTGAAAATGTTCTTTAGCACAGACTGTTGAAATTTTGAAGCAATAATACTCTTTAAAATTGAAGCTTTGGAAAGGAAAAACTACGAAAGTGAACAGATTTATAATTGCTTTGAATTTGTGAAACTTTTCAAAGTGTCATAAAACTATACAAAGTGAGTATCAGTTTTTCACATTGTTCACAAATAAATTCCTCCTGCCAATCATTTACACACACGTAAAGGAAAATATGTAAAGCACAAACTGCTTTCCAGTACAGATGACCCTCTGTACCTAGGGGGTTGGTTCCAGGATCCCCCCACCACCACCACCCACAAGTCCCTTATATAAAGTAGTTACACTGAATTGAATAGTTATTGATACTGTAGGGAATAATGACAAAAAAAAACTACGTATTCAGTGTAGACAGCCACCTAGGCCTAGCTGTATAGTACACATCAGCAATACTTTTTCAGATATTTTTAATGCAGTCACCCATGGATGCAGAAACCACAGATGACTGATTACATTGAAAAGATTACATACGTATTTCTATGTATTTTACTGTCAAAGGAACTAAATGCAGTGATCCTTAAATAAGAATTTTAAATAAGCTAAACATTTCAGAATCACCCAAACATTGTCTAAATCGCCCTTATATAATGGTTTCTGATACACATGTAGTGTGCAAGAAAATATTTGAATTTTTTCTATTTTAAATTCATTTTCATTCCTCCTCTCCCATTAATGTACATGATAGGAGAAGAAGGAAGGGAATACATAGTTTTGACTGACTTTAAATAGGCTGCCAACTATCAGTCTTCACATTTAAAAACTTGGTTTGGTTATACCCATCTTTAAGACTATATTTACTAGCTAGAAGTTCTGTGCATTAAATCATGAGTGGGGTTGAGAGATGAGAAGAATCTCCAATTTATACAATTAATTCTTCAGGAATTGTTGAATCATAATGACCAGTCTCCTGTTCAATTTGGTTTTTTTTTCGTTTGGTCACCAGTCAGAATATATCCTCAATACTTGTGTAACTGACGTGAACAGGAATTTTACTGGCAGGTACTTAGAAATGCCAATAGCTTTTCCAAGCTGAAATTTACATCTTGACTATAAGACTACTTAGGTGAGGATAGTAGAGATGTGTTAGAAGTACAGAAATTTTGCTTTAATTTTGAATAACATCTGAATTTATGTCTGAGCATCAAGTATTAACTAGGCTTTAACAACTCAGGATATTTGCCCAGAGCTATGCCCTAACCCTCAGTTTTTAATTTTGCAGGGCTCCTACTTGTCATTTGTACAATAATTAAGGCTTGAATGACTTAGTGAATGGTGAGACATGCCACAGCTCTCAACCACTACTATTCCTGAAGTGGTGGTGTCTTGGATTCAGAAGGGGCGTGTTCCTCCTTTTTTATGTTGATTCAGGTTATTGCTGAGTAGGAAGGATGAGAAAATGTACATGAACTAAGTAATTAGAATTAGTCATTGCTCTCTATAAAGACCGTAAGCCCTCTTTCCTTTTTCTCTTCCAAAATTTCGGTGAAGTGACTAAAATGGAAAACAGAATACATTAGGGAAGGTCCTCTACAGGTAGGTATAGCAAGATTAGAAAACAGTACCAACAGTAGAGCAGCAATTTCTAGCTATTTCTGGAAGATAGGTAAGGATCAACAGGTGCTTTTTAGTGCCGATGTGAGCAAGCCACATAAAGTGAGTGAAGTAGAAACATGAACATCTCGCCAGTTTGAGCAGTGGGGACTAGTCAAAGGTTAACTAACTCCTCAGGTGACTGGAGAGAAATACGGGTTGGGTAGGGGAGGAGAGGAGTAAGTGAACGAACTGACCGAAGAGTTTGTTTCTCCCTAGTTATTTTGCTTAAATTGAGGAAAGTAGACTTAGATAAGCTATTGCATAGTGGCTTCTTTGTTCAGATGAGGCATGGTGATTCTCAACCCTTGCCCAAAAGAATCAACTAGACCTTTTTAACATGAAATTGCCTAGGCCAAAATCTGGAGGGTAGAACTGGGCATTGGAGTTTTTGTGAAAGATGTTGGTGAAGTAGAGGAACCACTTGGTGTTGCTCAGAACTTCCCAACCTGGTGGTAGTGGCTGGTAACAGAGTAACTGCAATCCATTATCCAAGTTGGAAGTTTTTTGAAAAAGAAATTACTTCATATTCATGGGACAGCATGCAACCTGGGACATATGGTCACTCTAGCTATGAGTGTGCTTATTGATCCCTCTCACCTCTGTGTAGTTAGACCATTGCCGGGAAGAGCCCACGTTCCATACGGTCCCTCTTCTCTTTTCTTCAGTATGCCTCATGCATATTAGCACTTGCCGGAAGCCATTGTGTGAATAAGATTGGTAAGTATTGTTTGTAACTAACCCCGGGCTACTTTGAACACATGTAGTAAGATGAGTTTCCTCTGAAAGAGATGTCACCTTCCCCAGTGTTGAATCCTTGATTTGAACCCTGGAGAGTTTAAACCTTAATGGTGCTTGAAGCATGGAATCAAGCTGACTGAGGACTGTTTTCAGTTCCTGTGTGGCCAGACATGCTTGCTTGCTTTTTAAGAGCACGTGGAACATTCTTCAGGATAGGCCATGTGTTAGGTCATAAAATAGCCTCATATTGAAAAAGATTAAGCTCAAGCAAAATAATCACAGTGAAAAAAATGAGGAAATTAGGGAAGCTCACAAATACGTGGAATATAAACATCACATTTCTAAATAACAATGTGCCAAAGAATAAATCACAAGGGAAATAGAAAACACATTGGGATGAATGCAAATGAAGACAAAGTTCCGAAGCATGATGGGATACAGCTAACGCAGCGCGGAGAGGAATGTGTGTAGCTGCTACTGTCTGCATTACAGAAGATCACAAATCAACAACCTAACCTTTGACTTTGAGACTGGAAAAAAAAAAATAGCAAAGTAAGCCCAAAACAAGCAGATGGAATGAAATAAAACAGAGCAGAAATGAATAGATAATAGAGAAAAATCAATGAAACCAAAAGTTTGTTGTTTGAACTGATCAATCAATCAAACTTTTAGCTAGTTTGACCTAGGTAAAAAGATTTAAATTATTAGAACCTGAAATGAAAGAGAGTACCTTACTACAGATTGTACAGAAATTATAAGGAAAGAGTGTGAGCAATTTTATGGCAACAAATTAAATGGACAAATTCCTGGAAAGACAAACTACTAAGGTATATAAACTAGCTGAAAATTTTGGAGGAAGTAGAGGTATTTTCTAATTAGTTGGGTCAAGAAAAAAATTCAAATGTCATTTAAAGTTATATAACAACAGAAGAACTAAAACTATTAAGAAAAATTGGAAGGAACAGTGTTAGTGTAAGTGGTTAAAATTTGTATCCGTCATGGAGACTTTGCTTATATATAAAGAAAATTGTACAGGTACAATCATATTAATTAAGGCTATAGATGCACTCATCATACTGAAGCCTGAAAAGTGGAATGGCTAGCCTGAGGGTGAAAACAGGTATGGGAGGACAGGAAGCGAGATTCACTTCTCTTTTGCTACCCTTCTGACTGTGTTTTCATTTCTTCTTCTTCTTTTTTAAGATTTTATTTATTTATCTTTAGAGGGGAAGGGAAGGAGAGAGGGGGAGAAATATCAATGTATGGTTGCCTCTCCTGAGTCCCCTGCTGGGAACTGGCCTGCAACCCAGGCACGTGCCCTGACTGGGAATCAAACCACGATCCCTAAGTTCACAGGCCGATGCTCAACCCAGTGAGCTATGCCAGCCAGGGCTTCATTTCTGTATTTATATTTAAATAACTTTAAGTGGAAAACTAAAATATTTATAGATACTTTGAGGAAATTAAAAAAAAAAAACACCATAAACAAGACTTCATCGCCCCAGAGCTCTTAAGAGGTTGGCCAGGATTCAGACCCCACTTGCTTTTACTTTAAACCATTATGTTAGACAGCATTTCATTTTAGTTAATTATTGAGTGCTTACTGTGTTACAGGTGCTGTAAGCAATTTACATGAATTATTGTACTTAATTTAGTTCTAATTTAGCTCTCACTGCGACCTGAAGAAATAGGTGCTATCATTTCCATTTTTGCAGATGAGAAAACTGAATTACTGGATATTCAATAACTTCACACTGACAGAGCCACAGTTTGAATGTAGACGCTCTGACTCCGGAGCCCTCACTCTTACCCTAATCATTTTAAAATCTGGAGGACAAAATTTCAAGAAGCCAAGAATCAAAATAAAATTACAAAATTTGAAGATAAGGGTGCTTTGCATCTGTCACTCAAAACTCATTTTAAATATTTTATACTTAGAAGAGATCTACAATTTAATCTTCTTTTACCCCGTGAATATATTTTTCTTTTATTTTACCCCAGCTATGAGATTCACAAGTTTCCGTGTACACCTACGACTGATTCCTTTAAAAATGATGGCAGGAAAATGGTGCATTTAGGGAGCAGCTGGGAAGGATTTGGACGGAGACTACCAGACGTTGCCAGTGGCAGGGGCTCAAAGGCAGGTAGATCTGAGATGCAACAGTTGACTTTCCAACCATCAGAGTGACATTGGAGGAATTCCTAGTTGAAGTCAGTGCAGTTTAAAGTTTAAATTTCATTTTTTTGGTTGATGCATTTTAGTTCTCTTGTGATATTATTTACATACTCTAAAGCATATAATTAACATTTTTTAGCATATTCACAGAGTTATGCGACCACCCCACAATCTAATTTTAGGATGTTTTCATCATTTTAGAAGAAACCCATACCCATGAGCAGT